TGATTATAATGAGTAAAAATAATAATAAGATGGCATCTGTTGTTTTTCCACCTAGCAGAGTCTGACTCCGACAGTATTTTTAGAGACTTTTGCATCTGCTGCCGCTTCTTGGACGGGTGAGTCCTGCAGGATGGACGTGGGGCGCGTCACTCAGATTGACGTTCCTCGTGGCTGCGGTGCCATATGCAGAGCTGCCCACTTTACTCCACGCATGGCTGGCTCCCATCATTAGCAGAGAGTAAAATAAAAGCAAATTAGGATTAAAAAAAAAACAACAAAAATCGAGTTTGCCCTTAAGTAGATATCCACGTGGTCCATCGTGAATTTGGAAGCGACCTGATTCAGACAAAAGAAGTTGGGAGATGGGTTGTTTTTTTTTGTATTTTTTTTATTTTTTATTTTTTGTATTAAAACATGGAAAATAAATTGTCAACCCCCAGAAGGGAAGTGTTTTTATATTTATGTTGAGTTTTTATGAGCAAAAATTTGCATATGCATCTCATTGAAGGGAGCTATGAAGACTCAGAACCCTGCAGGTCGTGCTTAATTTCCATGACAACGCTACAGGGAAAATGAAGTTTGTTGAATAATCGTAGTTTTGGGGGTGCATTTCAGACACTATGATAATACCACACTGTTTGTGTCTGACAGCTTTGAAACGTGAACTACATTTGAGTTTTTGATAAAAAAATGAATAATCATGTTTCTCAGAGGATACTTCAGTTCTCTGTGGGTTACGATGGGATTTAGTGAGAACTAAACACGGCCAGGTTCTGTTCTGGTTTATAAGGAACTTCAGCTTCACTTTTCAGGGCCTTCTCTGCTGGAAATGCCTGGTTGACTCACCTTCTTCTCTGGTCTGCTGGCTCCCCCTGCTGGTCAAAGCACACCATGAAAAATCCAAGTGATTCAACCTGGAAATCTGTTTAAAAAAATACCAACCAGTTACATAAAGCAGCATAAAGTGTTTAGTATTTAGGATTTCATTTTGGACTTCACTGGAATGTAGCAGTGGCTCAGTTTGTTATGATTAGAAGAAGAATCTGTTTTAAATAAATATTGCAGGTAGCTGAAGGGAATCCTTTCACTCAGCCTGAAGCAGAAAATGAGGTAAAAGTTTTTATTTGCCAGAACCTCTTAAGATTTGGGGAACATGTCTACGTTTCTAATTCATCGACAAGGGTAGTTCAAAGTGCTTTACATCATAATATTATATAGTCGTCGATTATGAAACGGCAATAAACATTACATTTTGTCAAACGTCATTATGAAAATTATCAAGCAAATGCACATCAAACATGGTGACCAGCAGTTGTGTTTCCATTAAAAATGTGTTCATAACTTTGAAAAGACAATTTTGCAATTGCGGTGTTTCCATTAAATAAGAAGCGCAATTAAAATCACACGTGAATAAGTTTGTTCATGCGATAAGTCGTTAATAAACATGCTATGCCGCTATCCTTCAACTACTTCCTGTCATCCTCTTTGTTGTTCCGCCAGTAGTAAAATCTGGTTGTTGATCACGCGACTCGTGTGATGTGAAATGTGTTTTTATTGCAGCTTTTCAAAATATACAAATTTCGATATGGCCAAAAAAATACATAAATAAAACGCCTCATCCTGGAGCAGAACCTTTTACAAAAAGCTGAAGTTTTTTCAGGATTGGTACGTTTCCAATAAGCAAATTTATTTTCAGAATTACAACTTGGGCAATTGCATGGTCAATGGAAACATTGCTATGGTTTCATTTCCTACTAATAAAAGGCAACTCTAAGCAGGTGTGTTTTAGGTCTTGATTTAGAAGAGCTCAGTGTTTCAGCTGTTTTGCAGGTTTCTGGTTGCGGATTGGTGGTGCACAGAACGTCTTCTTTTTGTGTGACAGATAATCACTCAGCTCCTCCAGACTAGCCAGCAGCGATTAGTAAACACCTGATCGTACTGCTAAGCTCATATGAGCTTCGTCTCAGTGAAATGCTGGTAAAAACTTTGTTGAAGTGTAAGTAGAGGAGTGATGTGATGACTTCCTGAAGGCGGAGTTCGTAAAGAGACAGAAGCCCAATTTTAAGATGGTAAATTATGATGCGAAGCTTCTTTTTAATTCATATTTGATGTGCAGCATTTTTGTAACAATTGTAGGTAACATAGTTACTTGATTGTGCTGTATAATGACACTATATGGCTGGAAAACAATACTTCCCTTTTAAGGTTTAGCTATGGAAATAAATGTAATAAGGGAGTTTTGCTGTATTTGTTTTATATAAATGAAGGTAACATCCATCCATGTATTTATTCATTCGTCTTTGTCCATCTATCGTCCCTTTCTGATTTTTCGCACTTGCCCATTAGGAAGCATCTGGAAAACTTCCAGAGTTGAAGGGTTTTCCATCTTTCTGTAGATCAGAAAAGTCCTTCTCTAAATCAAAAACAGTTTCAACAGTTTTGGCTTTTTCAAGATGACAACGCAGCGTTTGAGGCTCTCGCGACGCACCCAGAGCAGATGGGCCGTTTTAAACCCTCCAGCATGACGTTCTTCATCTGCTCTGCTTTCATCTTCCCTGAGAGGAGCCGCCACAGGGAGGCGCCGCGAGCAGATGTCTGAGCACATCCCAGCCAGCATCTGTTTAACAAAAATAAAACATTACCTCTGTGTGACGTGGGACTCGACAGATTTTCCTCACACGAAAACCTTTTCGTATGAAAATGTATTTTAATTCAAGAATCCTCCCAAGTAGATTCTCTGCAGAGTTTGTGAAAAATGAAAATAAAAAAAAACAAAGAAACATGATTCGTTTTTGAGGTCATTATTAATAGTAACAAAAAAATCCATTTTAATATGCTGATGGTAGCAATGCAAAGCCTCAGATTCAACTATTTGAATTAATCAACTTTGCTTAGAAACATCCCTCAACAGCAAAAGGCAGCCTACATTTTAGGTAGATTAAGACATTTCTGATCAATATAAAGTTATCTTGAAATAAACAAGCCCTTTTTCTCATATTACTTTATTAACTCATGTAGTTAACTCTTGCAGGAATCGTAACAAACCTCATCTTTAGATATTTTTGTTCTGTGACTTCATTGTGTTGAGATTGAGGCGCTTCTTGCCGGGGGAAACTGTTAAGTTCGCTCATCACAAGAGATGAGCCATGTGTTGCTGAGGTTACGGTTTAATGCTAAAGGCCTCCGCACACCAAAACGTGTTTTACAGAAGTAATGGTTTAGTTCCCAATATCTCGATAATGAGGCACATTTATTTGCTGATGCAATGTTTAGTTGTTGGGGGCGGGGGGGAGGTGTTGGGGAAAACAAAGCATCTTGTTTATGACAGTTTAGTTCTGTCATGAGTTTTTAATCAATGTTACCATTTAGAAACAAATTAAATTTAAACTAATAGCTGTTCTCAGTGTACCAATGGCAATATAGATCTTAATTCTTACCAATCTTGCGGTATCTTTTACATCTTTCCGTTCTGAAAGATCTATTGTACACTGTTTCAGTTCCGCGCTCTTCTTCAATCTTGATTCAAGGTGTCATGTTAGTCTCCCATGTCTAGTGCTTAAGAAAAAAGATCAGAAGAAATCAAACGCCTCAACCAGAGAGAGGAGCTTATGAAACATGTGTTCTACTTTGACACCAAACAAAAATGTTGGATAAATGCCATGTAATATGGTGTTAAGGGCTTTGCGGGAGGGAGCAGGGGATGTCTTTCTTTTCAAAGTAGATTATAAAAGTCAAGGTCAAGATGATCGCTTTTTCACAGCTACACAGCTGCCAGATCAGAATGTAACTTAATATCAATAACATTGTCTAGAATTGCACCGCTCATGGAGGGAGGCAGCTCTACTTTCATTCAGATTTGTTTCTTTTGTGAAACTTTCATTCCTTTGTTTCTGGCCAAAAAAATCTTCCAGCTTTTTTTTGTAGCTGTTTTGGGGAAACGTTCCTTCTAGTTTTGAATGCTGTGCAGCTGGTTTGATGTTTTTTTCTTTTTAAAACTTTGTCATTAAAATTTGTTATGCATAACCATAGCAACAAAATGGTTTACGACATGTGATGAACACTGCAAAAGCTGAAACAATACCACTGCTGAAGCTCCAAATGCCAGAGGAGTTGAAAAGGCGACATGATGGATACAGAGCAGGAAGAAAGGAGGAACTTCAAACCATCTCTTCCATCGATCACAACGGACAATGTGAGATCATTAGCTAACAAGTTGGACAAACTTCAAGCCTCGACAGCAAGACCGAGGGAATGCAGTAAACTCTCAGCAGTAAGTTTCTGAATAAAGTTTGGCTGTGTTATTTCGGCAGCTGCTTACGTTCCACTCTCAGCTGTTGCTGACAATGCAAGTGATGTCATCAGCTCAGTTGTTGCTAAGCTACAGGCATGACACCTCAATGCATCTGTGGAAATATCTGGTGATTTTTCTGTGCTTGATGTATAAACATCCTGTTCAGAGAGAACCTGTGAGAAAGCTGAAGAAGCCCTGCGGGGTTGTTGTGAGGCCACTGATTGGATTGCTCTGTGGCAGCCACATGGAGAGGACATCATTTTGGTGAAAAACAGATTATCACATCTTGACATAGGGAACCTTTGACTTTTTTCTTAATTGTAAAAAAAATGTTTATCATTAACATAACAAAGATTGTTTGTTGATAAATTTCATCAGATTAAATTAAATTAAATAGGCAGTGTTATGTATGTTTACATCATGTTATGCCTGTCTGCTCTCCTGCCAGATTTTCCTACCAATCAACTTTCTGTTGGACTGCTTGAATACAACACTCTGGATAAATGCATAGTGAAATGAGTTTGTTTCTTATTTTATTTTTTACTTTTTGATCTGAATTATGTAAGCGTCTTCTACATCCCACCTTCTAAAAGATGTCACGTTCCATGGAATCATAAATCATCGATGTTCAGAAATACTGAAGAAGCCATCAGACCTGCTAAAGGTTTGAATGCATCTTCATATTCACCTGATTATATAATCAACAGTTGGCTGTTTGAGAGGGTGGGGGGGCTGGAGGTGACACCGACTGGTCCATCCTCTTTCTCGCTCCTCCTCATCCTCTTCATCCTCCATGCTGTGTTTGGTGACAGGATTTCAGTGCAGACCTGCTGTGTGCTTCTTTTTTTTTTTTTTAGGCTGAATGGAGGAGTTAATAGAGCTCCTGCAGACATTTTCTCCTCTTCAGGGATCCCCACTGTAGATACAGACAGCCCAGCCTCAATTTGCTGTAATTTCTCTCAGCGAAAGCCGACGTTTCTTCGCTCCCCGAGCGGTGAGCTTGACCTGAAGCGGCGAAAAGGCGCATTTTTATCCCCGGTGGACACAGACGTAGCGGAGGTGAGCGGGACTACCTGTTTGCTTCCCCCGGGGTGGCGCGAGCGTGTGTCGCCCCGACTGATATTCACTGAACGGCGCCGCTGGTGCTACATACCTACTGACCTACTTTGTGTTAGTTGGGAGTGAAAGCGTTGAGGCGGCTGCGTTTTTAAAGAGATGAAAGGTGTTGTGGACACAGCGGTGACCCCGCGGGGAGAGCTCCAGTGAAACAGAGCCAGAAGTCAAAAGGGAGGCGGCGGAGCGGAGGCAGCAGGGATGGCCGCGTCTCATCACCTGGACCCCGGGCTGCTGCTGCTGCTGCTGGCCTGCTGGCGAACACCGGCGATGGTCGGTGGAAGTAAGTCAGTTCGTCTTCGTAAAATTGTGAATCATGCATTGTTCCAAATATAGTTCGCGCTGTAGCAGCTGGTTTTAATTCCTAATTCAGTTGAATTTGTTGTTTTAACCGACAAAAAGGCTCAGTCAGAATATCATAAAGTTAATTTCTTTTACTAATTTAATTCAAAATGTTAAACTCATACGTTTCAAGTGTTTGTTTTCATCGATACCATTATCGCTAAAGCAAAGAAAAAATTAAATAATTTTAGAAGATTATAGCTATCATCTTAGCAAAATGATGTAAGTCAAGATATATTAATGGAAAGTTAAGTGGAAGTGGGAAACGTGTGATAGAAAAAGTTTCCTCTCAGCTCACAGTAGGGTTTTACAATATTAGGAAAACATAATGTGATTTATGGCTGTGATTCTTAACCCACATTGTTCTCTCTGTAGTTTTTCTTTTCCATCATCACAATGAACCTGGTGCTCTGTTCTGTTGGTCTGATCTTGGTTGCTAAGATCCATATTAAATGAAAGCAAAACAGACCATCCAAGTGACTAAATAGTTCACATAAAAGCTTCACTTTGATCTATGGTACCTAATGATGTTGCACACATAATATTGACATCATTTCAATTTGATATGTATTTTTTTAAAGTACGTTTTGCTGAAAATTTCAATAAGACTAAGAAAAACAAGATTATAATACCAGTTAAATTGCAACTTCATATTTAAGCAAGTTCTGTTTATTAACATTGTGTGATTGTAAATATGGTCACATCGGTAGTAATTACATGTGCTGAAGTACAAAAGTGGTTTTTAACATAATTCTAATTTTTTTTCTTCTTTTTGTTAAGATGGAGAAATGCATACATGTACATTTGCACATCTACATTTGATGTGCATACTTTGTGCACATGTAAATGCTACATTTCCTTTGTGTGACATTGACAGCGTTACATGTTATGGCAAATTGTACCGAGTGCGTTTAAAAGTTTTTTACTGAACTACATAAAGTTATTCTCATAGCTCGATCTTGCTTTCAGTACTACCAATGTTAAATAAAACAGAACTCAGCACTTCCACAGTCCTACAAGATTGAAATGGCTAAAAAATAAAATAATGCTGAGGCTCTGGTAGTTGTTGAAAATATTATTCAGTTTAACAGAGCAGAAATTGACACATGTAAGCTTTTATTTTCTTACCCCAAACATCTTGACAAGCAACATTAAATGTGCAAAGATAGTTACAGACTTTTAAGGTCACAAATTGGCATGTACAGTATTTCATATTTTGTTTTATGGCTGAAAATGTATGAAAATTTAACACACAAAGCATCAAAAGACAACCACTGAAACGTCTATCCAATATTTATGTTTTTATGTTCTATCTGTTCACTTTTATGTGCAGCTTTAAATTCAAATTAGTGGCGCTACTGAGTCACTGATATTTGTGAGTGAGTGTGACACTTGTTCATGTGGCATGACTGCACATGCTGTGACAAACTGGACTTCATAAGCAGGACCAGAAGTTCTGATGCTGTGAAGTTTTGTACTTGTCCTTTTGTGTGGGACCGGTCCTTTAGCTTGTCATAGCCGCTGTAATAAAAAGGAAGAGAGCACAGCGCTGATATCAACAGAGAAAACAGGAATATTTCAGACATTAAAGCATAATAACAATACATGCTCAAATAATTTATTTTGACTCAGCGACTCCTTACCGCTAACGGAGCAATCAGAGCAGATCCGTGCCGTATTGGATGACTTGTCGTTTTCCTCTGGATATTAACCAGACACACTTGTCGACTCTTGGTGCCAAGTAGCAAAGTTTCCTCACCTTCACTTCTGATTCTTGGGGTGTAATGAAAACTTCTCTTTACTGTCTTCTTGTTTTTAGTTACATGAAATACTAAACTTTACATTTCCTAAACATTAATTCTAAAATCAAAAAGATCACAAACCAGAAGAAGTCCAGAAACTGCTGGTCACGACCGCATCGAAATTTTACAGAACAGAACTTCTGTTCACTTAATGGCGTTTCATAAACTTGGCAAAGGGTTAGAAACTGGTATTAAAGACATAAAATGAACAAAAGCAAACTTTTATCTGCTCTCCTCGCTAAACTTTCCTCTCATAGATCTTTCCAAACATCAACGTTCTGCAATGAACTTTAATATAAGACTTTAACTAGACTTAAACAGTCGACACCCTTGTGTGTAATGAAATCAGAAGCACTTACAGGTGCAGTTATTAACACTCCGCCGGGGGAACCTGCATCCATCTGGCGCTAGCAAGCATTTCATTCCGACACTTGCCACCTACATGCAGATTTTAACAACCAATCCAACCCCCACAAGGCAACAGCTCTCCCCTACTGCAGCAACCCACCCTCAGCCAACACAAAGCACAAACCACGGAGCCACACGGATGAATGGTCTCTCTTCTGTTTTGACTGAATTTATTAGGTTGTGAGGAGCAAGTCCGTCGGCCGGATTTTTATTCGTTTTTTGTACGAAATATTGTTTTTCTTAACCCAAACCCAGGATTTTATTATTTTAGTCACACGTTTTACAAAACACCTCGGTGGATTAATAAAAGTGCCAATGTTAATAAATATTCTTAGACTTTAACAAACACATTTTTCAACCAGGTTTTTTTTTTTTTTTTTTTTCAAAGTCCACACACTAAAGGAAAGAAATGTAAATCACTGACGATCAGATTGCTGCTTCCTAGATGTTCACATTTGCCTCTAAGCACAAAATGACCACTAGAAGTCAAATGTGAATTCAAAACCTCAACCAGGAGGCAACTGTATATATGCAAAATGAGGAAAATATGACTTCAAAATGACTTTCCCTTGAGGAAAATGTGAGTGCAAAAGAAAAGTGATCAGTTTCTTTCAGTCGCAACTTTATGATCCAAATGTATCATAATTTTGGGTCATTTTCATATCTTCACTTGTAGTTGTGATGTTTTCAGAATTGAATATCTTCTTAGGCGGTGTGTTGCGTAAGTTTTTCTTTATTTTTTTATTTTCTGTTTTCTAGTCTTGAAATCGAGAAAAACCTGATTAGGAGGAAGAAAAAGGAAGTCATGATCATTTTAAGTATTCTGGTTCAAGAATACAACCGTAGGAGAAAACCAGCAGAATTCAATTAAAAATAATGGATTCAATTTTTTTTTAAAGATGGATGTATTCATAAACCATTTACAACAGGAGTCTTTGATATAATCTTTTTCTTTATAAAAGCCACATCCTGCAGCTTTAATGCAAGTGGAGTTTCTGTTTGCACCTTATATTTCAACCAGACAAAGTGATCTGGGGAAAAGTGTGAAGGCCACAGCAAACAGCCCATCAGGTGGTCCAGACTGGCCTCTTCCCTGATTAATGAGCTGCAGCAGTAGTGTGCTTTAATCACCTGCGGCCGGCTTCCTGCTTGTTGGTCATTGTTAATCAGACTTTAGGACGACGATGCCAAATCAGCGCTCTTCGTCTTGGCAGAACAAGACGAAGCCAATCACGCTCATGAGACTTCACGTCGATTTGTGCAGTAAAGTGCGCTTTTCATTTTCCCCACACGTGGGCCGTGATAAAGGCCTCGACCTTGCTGCGGCTTATCATCCCGCCACCACTTTTGGTGCAAATGGAAAGAGAGAGAGAAAAAAGTGTTCTTCCACCTGTGTTATTTCCCTGTTCGATAAATCCCAAACATCTGCTGGAACGCAGCGGCACACAGCTGAATTGAGTTGTTTTTTTTTAGAAATATGAAAAGCGTGTATTTAAAGCTGTGGAAGGGCTTGGAGCGACCCCGCAGGCTGTGGCCTTCTGGAGGAAAAGAAAAAAAAAGTCACAATCAGAATTCTAAAAACTCAGCAAACTGTTACCAGTAAACTAAAACACCAATATTTAAATAAACTCCCAGGTATTACCTTATAGTTGTGGTTCAATTACACATATCTGGATTTATAAAAATCTGGATAGTCTGTTTTCTAGGCCACACAAGAATCTTAAAATGAGGAGAAAGCTGTTGTGCAGATGTCATTAGGAAGGAGAAGGGAAGACATCAGAAATGTGCACCGGCTGTGGAAGCAGGAGGGTTGTATTGATGCGCAGCAGGGTGAAGAGGGTTTTTGTTTCTCTGTCTCACTGTGGAGCTCTGAATCTCTCTTCTGCACACTGTTGCTGTCGCCATCTTTATTCCTCTGTAACACCCAGAAGCTGGAGCATCCTCCTTTCCTCCTGTGTGTTTTTGTTAATTGTGCCAGCATCACTGCTTCGCCTCTTCTAGGACGTGCACCTGACTGCAAGGTCAAGTTGATTTTGCAGCTCATTTCCGTTTAAAGTAATGCATTTTCAGAGTTAATGTTACGTGCTGAAGAAGCCCATTAAGCATAAAATGAGTGCAAATTTTAGTTGACGTGCATAATTTGTTCTGCATGTGAGGGAGGAAGGAGGCTTCAAAATAACGAAGAAAATACAAATGATCCAGTAGAAAATGTGCCATTGATTGAGCACAAAAAATATGAATGAAAAAGCAATAAAGAAGCACCAAATAATTTCCATTGATCACATAACGCTTAATGGAAACATGGAAATTTCGGGGAAAAAAACAAAAACAAACATTTTTTGATATGTTTTGGTGCTGGAATGAGATGCTTTTTTTGTGGGACGTATCAAAATTGGTTTATTTTGCAAAATTTTAACGGAAACCCTTTTTTTAACAACCTGACACGTTGCCAGTTGTTGAACCACGAAGAAGACGACAACAGGAAGTAGTCAGAGGATGATGGCGCAGCATATTTTTTTAATGACTTCTCATGTGAACAAACTTATTCACATATGATTTTAATTCTTAATAAAGTTTTGCGTCATTTGTAATGGAAATGCAGCTGAAGGTGGTAGCAATACAAAAAGCAACTCTAGGTGAACAAAGTCCACTAAGAGGCATATATCTGCATCAAATGGCACATTTGAAAGCCAATTGAGCAAAAAATACAAATGTGAAAACGACCCCAATA